TAGAGAAAACCCTTCTTTTTATTACTTGTTTTAAGTTATATAACTCTAGTATTTAGTTTAACTATTACCGTTCTTTGTGATTGATACCCTCCGTGCTTGAACTATATTGCTAATCTATAGGTACACTTCCTTTCGTGTGTTTAATTTGTGTTAAAATAGTATGATTAAAACTAGTTCATTTCACACACAGTGTCATTATCTCTAATTAGGACCTTGGGGCTGCCACAACATGTGAGGATATTTTTTCAAATGAATTTTATCATATGTATTCTCGTGATGGTGGTCAGCGGCTCGGCCTCGATCCACTTGGTGAATGTAACGCCCACAAATTCGAGCTAGTCAACTTAGAGATAATAAGCGTCAAAAATTGACTTTTTGATATAAGATTATTTAGAGCAATTAGACTTAACCGAGTTATAGTATACGTCACAAGGATTCCATACATATAAAGAATGCTGAAATCCGAGTTAAAACGAAGAAGTTATGACCCGTCGAAGTTTTGCGACAAAACCAACACGATATTGTTTGTCGTAAAAAGTGAGTTCGCGATAAAATACCTTTTTGCCTTAGCGATCTAAATGAGAGTCGTAGTATACGTTAAACCGAACGTACATAAAAATAACGTCCAAATCTAACTTCGTTTCTGTATGTTATGATTTTTCTAAGATTTGACATAGCAGTGTGTAGCCTGAAATTCGAATTTAGATCGATCGATTTTTAGCTGACACAATCTAAACGAGAATTGAAGATCTCATTAATATGAACTCAGTGATATACAGACAGACGAAAATGGATGTCGGATGACAAAGTTATGAAATTTTAACCGACTTTATGTGTTTAAGCTTGTTAAAATATAACTTTAAAAAATAAAATAAAATTTTGCCAATGGATTCTAAACGAAAGTTGTATATTATTTCGCCTCCTATGCGTGGATATAAAGAACATAAAAAATGGAGCTCGTATGGGAAATTTACGGAATTTAGAAGTTAAGTATAGGCTATGCGAGGACTGAAATGTGGCTAAATCTTATCCTTCGCTTTCTCCCCACAGCCTTACATGTGATGGTGACACCTGCCCCATTGTACGCACAGTGTAGGCTTCGGATGCCCCACGTAGTGAGTATGCCCAACATACTAAGATGTACACCGTGCGTATGCGCAGCCTCCCAGCCTATAAATAGAATTGTTTTTCTTCATTTCTCTCCACGCCTTTCCCATTATTTATTTCTCAAACATCCTTCTTAACCCTTCCCATTCCCTAGCACTTACCAAGTGTTAGAGGCGAGTCCTGGAGCACTAAAAGGCTACAAAAATAAGAGATTTCAGCTCAGAAGTTCTGCCCTCCCAGTGCCTGGTTCTTCGCTCAACCCCCTTGTAAGTGAGTTATGCTTACCCTACTTTAAGTATAACATATATTTAAGTTCATTATCTTTATTATGAACCTATAAGCAATATATGTGCTAAGTATAAATTATAAAAAGTGTTATTATAATACCTTTTTACTACTCTCGGTAAAGGGGATCTAATTTGAAGGGCCGCATAGGGTTGTTGGATTTCAAAACAGCTTAAATGCGAAAATCGTCTTGCCCTCAGGCATTTCATATCTGGTCCTTGTCTATACACAATAGTTGAAACGTATTGTTTAACACTTATAAAACAATATAGCTCGTAGATCTTCAATAAGAATTATCCAATAATCAAAATCAACATATATAAATTAGGTTCGTCTTCACCAAACAGAAGTAAAAGGGTCTTAGCCTCTCATTGTAGCAGAAAAACACATAAAATCCATGTAAAATAAACTAGACATAGGTAATGATTAGCAAACTAACTAGATCAATGTAGAAATATTCTAAATCTTATTCAATCCTTGAGCTTCACTTGATTCTCAATCTTATTCTAAGTTTCCGAGGGTTTCTAGTGGTAATTTTGCTTAGAAAACATATTACCTCCTCTACATTCGACCCAATGTTCGGGTTTTTATAATTTCCTTATATCGGTACACCAAGTCATGGTTGAACACCACAACATTGTGGTCCTCTTGTGTATCCCTTGTTCTCCAAGTCAGCTCATTAGTCGAGAATATTCCCATCACCATGATATGGTCATCAGTTTCCAAGTCTTCTTTTGCCTTCTTCTTGTCATAACTTCCGATTTCCTGCTTCTAGCTCCTTGTTTGTTTACTTTTCATCCCAAGCAAGTCTTCGTTGCTACAAAACATATTTTAAACATAATGAATATCTTTTTTCCAAAAATAAACACAATTGTAGCTAAAAGTATTAGAAGTATGCATTAAATACATAGTTAAATATACACATATCAAAATATCTCACACTTGGATTTGCTTGCCCTCAAGCAAAACTGATTTTATTATTAACATATCAAGAATTTAACTATCAATATCGCACAAGAAAATCTATTTTAAGTCTCTCCAATACTCCAAGATCGCAATCCATGTATTTGTGTCTAAATTTTCCTAAAAACTTCCCCAATCCTAAATACTCACAATTTTCGTAAACACTTCCCCGTTTCTTTTGAAGAACACTCATTTTATGCATCCCTCCGAATATATCCTTAGAAATATTTCTTAACCTCAAGATAATTTTTGGTTAAGCCCCGGACATACATATGGAAAAATAACCTAGAAATAAAAATATTACAATAAATATAACTTGGCAATTAGCGTTATTCTTGAGTCTTCGATTTTTGAGCTTTCTTGATGATATTCCTTGATCTTCATAGCTTTATAGACTCTTATTCTCAAACTTTTGCAAATTTTTTCTTCTTTTCTATTTTTTTTTTCTTTTCTCACTTTTTTCACTTAAAAATCCTAAAAGCATATGCTTAAGCAAGGGAACTTAACATCAACCCTTATTGGTTAGAGATATTAGTCTAAGGTGCGATGACTACAAAAGCTCTACCGTATATATTTCTAGTACACGATGGTAAACATATTGTGGCTCTCAAACTAAGCAAGGTTGTATTTTTGTTCCATAATTTCACTAGGATAGGGAAGCCACAAATACACTATAACATATATTGGCTCAAATAAACATTGAAACTCGCATCGGATCGTCCCACACAATGCTAGCAACCTGGATCTTAACATAACAGTTTTTAAATAGATTATCTTTTAGATTATTACTTCAAATCATTCTGATAATTTTTTTAAATCCTAGTCATACTCAACCCACTACCCGACACTTAACTGATGCAATGTACCCATTGCTTATTTAAACAATTAAAGAACATACAATTAAGAAGGAAGAATTGGAATAGACTCCCCTTGGGTAGTAGTGGCGAGATCGAAATTTGAAACTTCTGTGGTAAAGCTTGGACTTCTCGTATAATGGTTGGAAACATTACTTCTAGGCTCTTCTTTTGATAATGCCAATGTACCGGACTGAAATTAAACAAAGAACCATTCTTCAAAAAGTGTGTTGATCCTTTGCCACGACGTGGTAGATTAACGCCACGTCGTGGTGTTAACCAATTAGTCATGATTGTTGTCAAATATAAGATCGCCACGGCGTGGGCTAGTGATGTCATGTCATGGTGTCACGTCAGATTTTATCGTGCTAATATCGAATGCCACAACGTGTTGTTGATGGCCACATCATGGTGTCTTCTCAGAAGACTTTTAACAACCCAAATAACTCATCTAGACTTCTTAATGACTTAGGATCATTCCTGACCTATCTTTCTATAAAATCTTCAAAATTCTATTCATCAAGTGAGTTACCTACACTTATTAAATGTATTAATTATAATAAATATAATAATAAATGCATATCAATTTAATTAATGCAACTTTCCTTTTAATTTTTTAGTTTCTAAACTTAATCCAATTATTTTATTTGTCTATTTATTTAAGTTATTTGTTTAACATAAAAAAGAAATGAAAGAAAGTTAAAAATAAGAAATTGAACATTACATTGTAATAATTTAATATTTTTTTTCCTCATAAATTCAAACTTCTTAAATTTGTAGATCTTCATATTTTTTTAGTAAACCCATGTAATACACGAGTCTTACACGAGATTCATAAAAAATAGAGATATTGAGACTCAACATCGTCCACATTTTTCTCGTTTGTCGCTCTAACACTCCAGCGTACCGGTATCAGCAAGGTATGTCTAATCATAAATGATTATATAGCAGAGAGGTATAATCATATATGATTATATATGTTTATACATGTATGCCTAATCATAAATGGTCATATATATATATATATATATATATATATATATATATATATATATATATATATATATATATATATATATATATATATATATATATATAATGGTTGATGGAACAAGAGGTGGTGGTGGCAAAGGTGGCGGTGACATAGGTAATAGTGTTGGGGTCGGCTGATAGTAGAGATGGTAATAGTGGTTGTGGCGGCGGTGGTTGTTATAGTGGGGAAGGTGGCGGTTGTGAAAGGAACAAGTGGCACTACATAATCATTTATGATTATAACTGACCCGTCGCGCGTGAAACATCGGAGGGTTAGAGTGTCACATGTGAATTACGTGGATGAGGTTGAATCTCTCTCTCTCTCTCTCTCTCTCTCTATATATATATATATATATATATATATATATATATATATATATATATATATATATATATATATATATATATATATATATATAGAGAGAGAGAGAGAGAGAGAGTTAGGTTCAAATGTTTCTAGCAACTATTGTGTGTATGTATACATCAATACGAATTTGGGAAAAAATAATTAATTAAATAAATCATTTATAGGTATTATAGTAATATTTGCATAGTTAATTATGGTAGATAATTAATATTCCTGATATCACGCAACAAGCAAAGATAAATTTAGAACATTAGCCTAAGTTGAACTCACCGTCGTTTCTGATTCACCGCTTCCGCTTCTTTTTCTACGATCGTTCATCAAGATTCAAAATTTATTACCAGATAATTATCATTCTCGAATCTATTATTAAGCTTTTCCCAAAATAAAATTCAAACCCACATAATAAATGGCAGACTTAGAAGAATCAATTAGTGGTGTTCAAGATAGAAACTGCAAACGAACTTGCCTCCACCGTCATTTCTTTATCTTCCTTTGTCGACGATAAGAATCACAACCATTCAACTACAACGTGCGACATGCCTGGGCAATTGATTTTGTTTACTCTTTCTTTTTTATTTTATGGACCTTGAGCACATCTGCGTTGTTTTTTTGGACATCGAGTACGGGTGGAATTATCCCAATCTGGAACTGTATGGGAACTACAAGTACCCTTCATCCCTATTTTAATCTTTTATTTCTGTTATAATCTAATGAGATTCCGTACATTTTGATGTGATTTTAGAGCTTTATAAAGAATAACCTTAGTTATGTTTGATAAGAGTTAGTATATGGAATTACTAAGTAATTTTATGTGATTGGGTTTTTTTCAGGGAGGAACTAACTGACCAAAGCATAAATGGCGGCAGCATCGGTTATTGTAGTGGATGCAGAGTATTTGAAGGAGTTAGAAAAGGCTCGTCGAGATCTTCATGCCCTCATCTCCAACAAAAAATGTGCTCTAATTATGCTTCGATTAGCGTACGAGATTTCTTATATTTTCTATGCATATGAATTCATGAATCATGATCAGATTGATGAGCTGTATAGCTATTAGATTAAGAACTTAATTAATGTTATGGTACCTAGGTATTATTTGTGACCTATTAATTGATCGGTATTACTAGAATCATTATTCTATCTTTGCTGATCAATTACTTACATGCTTCTTAAATTTGTTTCTTAAATCTTCTTGAGATCGACATTTCTTTCACATTATGTCATGTAAATTAGTTCGGTCATTTGTTACTTAATCTGTCAATTTAATATGGATTATAGATGTTTGAGCATACTATAGCATTGATGTTGTGCAAAAAAAGTAAATGTATTCTCGAATAATGATAATCTAGTTGTCTCTTACACAAAAATGGTGAAATGAATTAGCGATTTTGTCATTTCAGTAAATTTAATTGTATTATTGCCAGAAGATATGACTTATGATTAAGCCTAAAGCATAACATTGATGTTAAATTTTAATGATATGATGTTCTAATCCTCATGATGATCTATAACTGAGGGTTTTTTTGGGGAATACAAATGGCATTATGCAGGGACTTGTGATGCTAAAACAAAGACAAGAGGCCCAAACGGATCAATCAGGATCAAACATTGGTCTAAAAATTGCTATTGACCTCTGTGGTAAGTTTCTATGCATTTATGTAAAAAACATTAATATATTTTTTATTCATTTTGAGAACAGTATTGATGTATGTGACATTAATAACAGAAGAAGTGAAGGCCAAACACCCGAGAGTTACATATGCTGATCTCAATCAGGTGATTAATCAATTGTTTAAATACAAACCACAAACCATCTCTTTCAAAACATGTTGGATATTTTCAATTTAAGTTCATCCTTTTAATCTCCAAAATTATGATGAAATGTTGTTTTTCCAACACAATGTATACGGTAACTGAATCTTGAATTCCAATTCTATTGGAATGGAATCATGATTTCCAATTCTGTTGGAATGGAATATGGATATTTTCTCAATGATTTATGCATGTTCTACAATTATTGGTTATTGGTTGGTTGTTGGTTTTGGTGCAATTCAAAAGTACGCATATTTTTCCAAATGAATTTAGTTTTTTATTTTTCATTTGTTAATGCATTAGTGGATTCTAAACTACAATTGGATTATTTCATGAGTAATTGATTCTTCTAGTTCTCCCTTTTCTTTTTGAAAATTTCACTTTTTGTTTAACTTGTAAACAATATGTTTGGTTTTGGGGATTAGTTTTTTTTTTTTTTTTTACTTGTTTTTTTCTAGTCATTCTAAACAAATAATAATAATGAATTTTTCATAATCATACCCAACTTCTTGAATAAATTTTCAAAACTACCATTTTTTAAGAGTGATTGATTTCTTTAGTTCATGATTTTGCTATTTATGATATTGATTAAGGCGATAATTGTTTGATTACAAGTGAAAAACATTATTTATTCTCGATTTCAATGTCCTTATTTGTCAATGTATTCTGATAGAATACTAATGTTCCAGAAAAGTCAATACATAATATAATGTATTATGTAAGAATATATCACGCTTGAATAAATGTCCTTATTACGCTCTCATTCTTCATTAATTTTAAATATCCATCATTGAAGTTGATTTTGTAATTTAAAATCTGACTTAAGTAATGATAGATTGCTCTTGATTTTCCATTTGTTCTTGATACTTGATTGTTCTAAAATTATCGTTGATGAAAAGGGTTAAGCTGACATTCTGTCAGAATTTGCATAAAAAAGGTTAACCTTGGGATTTTTTTCATATCAAAATACAAACACATCTTCATTCTATTAGAATATAAATATTATATAAAACATGTGCTACTAGTAATTCTAACAGAATATATCTATACATGCTTTAGAATGTTTATGCATATAGAAGAAAAGACTATGATTTAAGTGCATTATATAATGTATTCTGTTAGAATTTATTTATATAAATGCATTCTGTTAGAATGTATTTGAAAATGTTTGTTAACAACAAATATATTTGTTTAACTAGTAATACTAATAAGTAATGCATCTTATTATTTCAGAATTGCATGGAGAATGAATTCAATATTGATCATACAAGAGAAATGTTTGAAATCGAGTTCAACCACAAGTATATATGTGAAGATCAAGTGGATTATATGGACCGCTGAAGAAGATCAAGTGTATTTGCTCAATAATTGTATATTCAAGAATGATATTTTTTTAAGAATTTAATTCATTTTTTATAATATTATGTTAGAATATATATAACTATATTAAAATGTATAAGGATATTAGTATGTAAGAATATGTATGAATTTGTATTTAATTTTAGTTGTATATTAAGAATAAAATCATAGACCCAAGTTGGATGTATATGAATAATATCTTATTCTTAAATCAGGTCAATTATTAAATTTAAATGCATTCAAAATGTATTTTGCAAGGATAAATCGAAAATATATTTACTATTTTATGGTTGACATTCTGTCATTCTGACAAAATAAAATCGGATTTTTAAATTTGAATTAATTAAAAATATTTCGATTTTTAAAAATAAAGGATTTAATTATCCCTTAAAATCCAAAAATTTCCTTTTTTAATATAGATAAATTGACCAAAATACCCTTATGCTGAAAATTATGTGATTATATGATGCATGTTAGCCTATTGTAATATCACAGACTTTCAGATAATGACATTTGATTCTATTCCATTCGATGGTCCAGATCATGCATTCTGACACATAATAATTAGTAAAAATGAAATAACCTAAGATATATATATATATATATATATATATATATATATATATATATATATATATATATATATATATATATATATATATATATATATATATATATATATAGAGAGAGAGAGAGAGAGAGAGAGAATTTAGTCATTCTATTCAAAAGATTTCTAAATGCCATGCATTTATTTCATGAGACTGAATATATAATTCTCATCAACTTCATGCATTGGGTAGCACAAAAAGAATTTATTTTTTAACTAAACGATGTATGTGATCTTCCTTTATAATATTATCGGGACACGTACAACATAAAATTTTGATTAAAAATTTTGAATGATTTTTTATATTGTAAAGGTATATTATTTATGTCAATTTATGTAATTAATAAGGGTAGTAGGTATCATTGCCAGATGAGGGCTTGAGATCGACCATGGGAATAGAGGAAGTGTTTTGGGGAGAGAAGGTTACCGGAAGAGTGTCTAGAGAAGAGAATGGATCAAAGAAAAAAAAGCGGAGAAGCCGGGATAGATGGGAAAGAAGGGAGGTGGCAGAAGCAGGAACACAAAGCTGTTTAGGAAAGGACTCAAGAAGCCCGAGAAGCAGGAGCTTCGACAATAGTAATCTGCACCCTAATATATTTTTTAACCATGTTTTAATACTCAAAATGGTGAGAACTTTTTTTTTTTTTTTTTTTTTTTTTGTTGTTGTCAAAGTTCCAATTTATTTTATTAAGATTACGATGATTTTTTATTTTTTTATGTAACGTGCATAACCTTTTCAAGTAGTATATCAAGAGTTTTAGTTTCAATAATATTAGTACGACCTTTTTTAACCTTTAGTTTACAAGTTTATTCATTAGATTGCCGTGAAAGACAAAAAAAAACCGATCATAATCAAATTGATTTAAAAGTCCTAGTTGTATTGGCCTTAGTAATGTGCATGTTACTACAAGTCAACCATGAGATTCTTCCAAGTTGTGTTGCCGCATATTTTAGTCATTTCCTTTTAAAATAATGTCTGTATATGATTTGTCTTTTTAACCAGGGTAAATCATAAAGACTAAATTGCAAGAATGGTCCATCTGTTATATCGAAAAATTTTGTTTGGTCCAAAAATGTTTGGACTTGCACCACAGGTCTAAACTTTTTATTTTGTTACGGGTTCGGTCCAATATGTTTTGCATATTTTAAAAATGATGAAATTACCCCTTGGTATTTTCGTTTTCTTTTATTTATATTAGAATAACTAAAAAAGAATAAATATGTATAATCATCCTCTTATCCTCTGCTACTACACTTCTTGCTGGTTCATATTTCATCCGTTCGGTAAACATCACCACCACCACCACCACCAACGGTCATCATCTCCCCACATTTAGCTTGCCGCCTCAACATCTATCCGACCAAGCTTCAACAACGACAATTTTTGGATTTCGAATGGTGTTTTTTTTTGTTCGATGGCTCATCATCTCCCCCCCCCCCCTTTTAGCTCACCGCCTCCACTTCCATCGGACCACCACCGTGTGCATATATGCAAATAGTAACACCATCGTCGTTGGAGAAGTAGAAAGAAGACGTCACTCCTAACCTTAACCCTAACCCTAGCATCATCGAAGTTGACAGAGGCAGTGAGGTATTGAAACCCTAACCCTAGCTTTGCCACCATCCTCCTTACGGATCTGCAACACCCACACAATGCTTTCGTTGCCGGAATCGAAAATGCTAACAATCAACCGTTGTCGCCATTCCGACGAACACTAGGGTTTGCAAAGGCTTGGAGTTGATTGGATAAATGCATGTCGAAGACCTCTATCAGGTAACAATAACTCTACTCGATCTATGTATCATCACAATTAGAGATGGAACAAGAAGAAGAATAAAAAGGGTTTTGGCAGCATGATGGTTGCAAAGAAGAAGTCATCTGAGAAGTGTTACGACGATGTTATCGGCTCTGACGAGATGTTTGCTTCCGGTGAAAGGGTGGCGTTCCAACTGAGAAGTTGTTTGAGAAGTGTTTGATTTCTTTTGTAAGAGAAATAGAGGGAGGCAGAAGAAAAAACAAGGGGGGGGGGGTTGTGGTGTATCAATTTTCTTTTTTTCTTTTCTATATTTTTGTATCGAAATGAAATTGAATAACCAGGAGTAATTTCATCATTTTAAAAACAGCCAAAACAAATTGGACCAAATTTGCAACAAAATGATAAGTTTGAACTGGTGGTGCAAATCTAAACATTTTTGAACTAAAATGACAATTTTCGACATACCACATGGACCATTCTTACAATTTTATCAATCATAAATGTGTTTATTAGAACTCCTTATTGTAGTTAAATTTACGTTAGGCAATAAATTTAGAAAAAAATTGCAATTTTTTTCCGTTTCTCAAAAATTGTAACTTTGGTAAAATATTTTAGAGTTGCACCGCTAGTCCAAAATATGTGTTTCGTTGCGGTTTTGGTCCATTTAATAATTGAATGTATTTGAAATGATATTTTTTTCCTTTCTATTTGTTTTTCATTTTTTATTTACTTTACTATTTATTTAATTAAAATAAAAATATAAACCCCACCTCACCCACATCCCTCTTCCTAAACTCTCTCTCTCTCTCTCTACACACACACACACAAACACCTCAAGTGAATGCTTTAGATCTTGAAGCACTTCAACTGGAGAAGATAAATTTGAGATGGTGGTGATCCGACGAGAGGGGTGAGAGCAGGGGTGAGGTGAACGAAGAGATGGTGATGATTCAGATGGCTCTGGTGAAGTAAATGGAGAGGTGGGTTGCTTCAAAAAATGGTGATAGTAGCCTCCATTCTTCTCATTTATTTAGATTCGCCAGAAGCCTTAGTCCATGGAAGCTCCAGACGGTTCACCATGAATAGCTCCAGATCTCCGACATCACCAGACCGCCGTCGATCTCCTTCCAGATCCGTCCACGCTCCATGATCTCCGACTAACATATTTGTTGCTTTAGCCCTAGTGTCGTCTCCCTTCTCCGGTGGTGGTATTATTGGGTTTTCTATGTATCAATACACTCTATCAATGTAGTGGAAACAATCAATTTTTACCTAAGTGTACATGCACCCTAGGATCTAGGTTTTATTAGTTATAGCAATCTGCTTTCGAATTCAAGTAAAGAGGAGTAAGAGCACTCATATCTTTATATTTAGACCATATAAACGACATGTATTACAAAGGATGAAGGACCCAAAGGAGAATCCCTCTAATTTAGTCAGACCTGTGACTCTAAGAAGTGCATCAAGGATAAACCTATAGAAAGGATAAGTTGAAAATACATAACCCTTACTTTTTGTCCATGGAGAGAAAGATGAGAGAGGGGCGTATGAAATTTAGAGTTAGGATTCCCCTTGGGTTTGATCCCAAGCCTCCTATTTATAGGCTCTAGATAAAATTCTCAAGTCAGTCAGATTCCTAAGGATAATCCTTATCCTTTTCAAAAACCTGCCTTATCTCAAATTCCTAAGGAATTTTTGTTCCTATCTCTCTTCCAAGAGGTTTCTAGAATATTTCAATTAATCTCCATGAATTAATTAATATTCAAGCCTTTTAATTAAGTAAAACAATTTAATTAATTACCAGAATAATTTATAACTAATTTATTAATTCATAATAAATTAACAACTTATTTTTTTCTCCATTTCCTTATTACTAATTGTGTCATGATGTAACACACCAAAAAAAAAATTCAAACTTGAAAATGCAATGGTTATAAAACCATTTCGGGGATTAACCAGTATTTAACAAAAACTCGATCCCGCACAAAACATTACAATTAAAACAATGGGTCTTACCGTTAAACATCATACAAACCATAGCAAAGTAAATACAAATTAGATCAATAACACTAATAAGGAAATTGACAAGCTGCACTCCATTCACTATCACTTAACTTTTAACTTTCATCTATCATCTTTTCTCCTTTAGTGTAACCTGGTATACATGACATTAAAAAGAGATGCGTAAGACAATAGTGTCCCGTGAGTTACGTAGCTTTTACACCACAAAACATTTCAAAGCATTTACATGAAAATCATTTCATACATATAGTATCATATCATATTATCAATGTCTAAGTCAAGTGCCAATGTGAAAATAATAAAATCAATACACTAAGGTATCGTTCGTGAAAGGGTTTTGAGCATTCTAACACTCCTATGGTGTACATGCACCCCTATAAACTTTGGATCTATGTTTTCTCTATTATACATGCAAATATTCAATATTCCAAGGTTTCATCCTAACTTGCATAATATGAAGTATATATAATACAACAAGCTAGTATAATGACATACCTTTTGATGGAGCTTGAAGTCTTGAACCTTTAAGAGCTTAGTGCCCCAAGTGTTGCACCTCAAATGTTTCTGTAACACTCACAATTTAAGCCAAATTTAAATTTTCAAAAACACGTCGAATTCATCAAAACATTACAACTTTGTTTTCAAAATACATTTATATCAGAGTTTTTCCCAGAAACATAACACAATAGATCATGCCTTCGCCTTGCCGCGATCCCCTGAGGTACCTGAAA